TTGAGCGCTAAAAGGAAGAAACGCAGAAGAAATTTGCTGTTAAATTAATGTGAAAATGACTGGCAGTTGCGCCTCTGCTAAAATTAGTTATTCGGGAAGATGTAGCCTAATCAAATGTTTTAATAAAAACAGTTGGCAGTGTTTTCCCACAGTAGCCTACAGTTTAAATAATATTTTAATTTACTAATTAATATTGTTATTAATATGATTCCAATTAAGCTAAAATTGACAAAACGCAGAACCCTTTGAATGTTTGCTTCATGCTAAAAAGCGCACTTTTATAGTTGTGTAGAGAACATCCCATTCTGCAGCAGCAGTCAAGGTATAACACTTAATAAATGCCTTATTTTGCGTTTAAAGATAATCGGCCTGCGAAGTCAAGTTTACAGTGTTATAAATGGAATATATTCCTTAAGTGGATTTACCGCGGATCAACCGAGAAATGTCCTACATGCTGCAGGTAGGCTGAATAATCTTTTAAAAATATGTAATTTAGGCTATACTGCTATTTGCTCATGCAAAATTAAACAACATAAAATATATTGTAAACCTATTTTAAGAGCTAAAATACAGTCAGCATATCAAGTTTGTTTTGACTTGTAGCTCATGGCCCTAAAATCAAAATAACCTGAAAACAAGTTATTAAAACAGGCTTAATAAATAAATAACATGACGGATAGGCCTAGTAGCATGGTTTATGATGGTTTACAAATGACAACCAGACAATATCACGAAAACACAGTGATGATAGCAGATGAATCTTTATTTTTACATTTAAAATTATGAAAAAAGTTATATATATAAGTTGCGTGTACTTATTTAATAATCTACTTCATTTGCTTTACAGTTTATCCTGGAAAATAACTCAAATCCCTGTAAATCCCTGTGCTCCTCCAGCTGAATAGGACATTTGTTGATGTATATTTGCTCAAATCTAACACAGTGTTGCTCTTGGATAATTGTGTTTGTTTTCTGATCAGAGAAATAGTGTAATTTTAGACACAGTATTGCCGTCTCGCCGCAGACATGCCTCTAATATTACATTTACTGCAGGCCTAAACACTAAACTTTACACTGAGCTCAGTAAAATGCTCTCTGATTAGTTATTAATAATCTGTTCAATAATTCATTACAGTCATATGAATGAGGAAATAAAGGTTTAGTTTAGTTAAATGTATTTTCAATAAATAAATAAATAAATAAAAAGAGCAGATTTAAATGAAATAATATTCTTGTTCCTCCTAATGCAAGACAATGCTGTGTCTGGAGTGTGTCAGCAATTCCTGCAGTTCACTACAGTTTTGAGTGTGACTCCTAATCCAGTCCTCCATGGGTTAATACATTTGATTTCCAGTGATCATGTCTGTGTGATTTTGTTGTCAGCACATTCAACTGTGTAAAGAACAAAGTATTTAATAAGAATGTTTCATTCATTCAGATCTAGTATGTGTTATTTTAGTGTTCTCTTTATTGTTTGGACAGTATATATATATAGTTTATTTCCAGTGTTGCTTTTATCACTGTAGACTGGACTCATGGACACTCAACACTGCTCATTTCCTACTGCTGATTGTGTTGCTCTTTGTCCTCTACACAGACTACAGTTCTGTAAACTCACTGTTCAGTGCTGTAAGAGTTTGTCTTCAGCTCTACAATCCTCAAACTGTGTGCTGAGAGAGCTGGACCTGAGTAACAATGACCTGCAGGATTCAGGAGTGAAGCTTCTCTCTGATGGACTGAAGAGTCAACACTGTAAACTGGACACACTGAGGTAAATGCTCTTCCACTCAAGTATCGTTCTGGGTGATACTAAACCCCAGATAACAGGAATTCTGGTTTATCAGTAATTGTGTTTCACACTGCTCATACTATACCTGTAGTTAACCCTCAGGGGTTTGAGGTGATTTTGGCCCCTGAGATGTTTTGTCATGCCCTGACATCTGTGCTTATTTCAGCTGCTTATTACACAGAACTGGCCAACATGTGTTTTATTTGTGTTCAGCGCAAACTGAGCTACAATAATATGTGGGAAATATTGATGTACATGCTGGTGTTTTAGAAATAAATATCATGTGTGGTTAGTAGGTTTTAGAGAAACAAATGTAGCTGAAATAAGATCCATAAACCAGACTGAATGTGCCTGAACAAGAGTTTAGAGTAAGCAGTCTTGTAGACTAGAATATTTACTGCACAATTATGTGAAATTATTCTGTTCTCTCATTCAGAGAAAACATTACAATGATCTACATTTTGTTAAGTTTGTTTTGGGTGATCTCAGCTGTATGTGTGAGTGACAATGCTCATGAATAATTCACACCTGAGAGACAACAGACACTCCCCCACTCACCCATCAAGGGCAGTGTACAGCAATGTCCATCTGCAGAAGCTAGCCCAAACTCAATGCTTGTTGTGTTACTGCTGTGTGACCATGTAAACACTCTGGGTGAACAATATACAGTGCTCAGCATATATAAGTACACCCCTCACTAATCTCTCTTTTACATTCATAGTTTAATAGGAAGCTCTACAGTATTATATTTGTGCATATACAATAGATTAGCCAAATCTGGAGCTCATCTAACAAAATAACTCAGGATAACGGTGTAAAAACTAGGGCACTCATATTTATGTGTTATAGAAAAATATTAAATTTAAAATTAAAATAAAAAAAGAGGAAAAAGCAAGAAAAGCAAAACAATGGATTTGTTTTGTATTTTTGTATTTTTTTGTATTATTTTTTTCTCAATATTTAGCCTGACTTTAATTGTATTATCTTTCTATTTCTGAATATGTTTGGTGACTAAAATATGATGTTCATGAATAAATCAGTTTAATAAATGTGTTCTGTTTAAATGCAGCAGAATACACTGCCTATATTGACTGAGAAATGGAGGAAAGTCTTGATTTTCAGAATGGGCTGTCCTCCATTATGCTGAGCGCTGTATGTGACTTATACAGCCGCACATATAATATATATTTGAAATGGTGTAAAACGTGTTCGCCAAACTCTCTTGTGCATTAATCCAGCATTTAATAATCATTTCTGAATGAGTCTGAGACACTGAAGTAGAGGAATGACAAACGCTTTAAACACAAGAATAAATCAGATTTAAACATGAAAAACAATTACTGTAAATCTAAATCATATTTGAAGAGCTTTAATATAGATTTCACCAATAGTTGCAGTCTTAGTTCACTGTTTGAAAACTTTACCAGGTTCAACTACAGTAAAATAACTAAAAAGTAAAAATATAAACATGTATAACATGAGTGACTTTCTGAATAAAGCAGCATCAGATCACGGTGGTCCCGTCAGGCTAAATGGTTCGTAATTTCAATTTAATCCTGAGTGAAAATGAAACACCCTTTCCAGCTAGTGTGCTGTGATTGTTTGTGGGTGTGCATGAGTTCAGGCATTGCCGGGAGAATTCTGTGTATTATCTAACAAGACTACATTTGTTTTCAAAATGACTTGGACAGTTCACCAAGCTTTATGCAGGCATGTCTCTCTTGTGTTTTTGTCATGTATTGGTGGAGATTCTGCTGTTTTTTCTGAGCACAGTGTACATAGAGCCTGTGCCTCACAGGGATGATTGTAATATCAAAGCCTTGTGGTCGTGGCCGCACTATAAATAATGAGCTCAGACTTACAAACTAGACATGGGGCTCTATTTTGACGATCCATGCGCAAAAGCGCAAAACACAGGGCACAAACGCTTTCAGGGTGTGTAAGAAGCATTTTTGCTAATATAAAGAGAGAAAAATTCGCTTTGCGCCGTGGCGCATGATCTAAAAGGGTTGAGCTTATTCTCTTAATGAGTTATAGGTGTGTTTTGAGAATAAACCAATCAGAGTCTCATCTCCCATCCTCTTCAAGCGTCAGTTGTGTCACGCCAATAGCGCATTTGCTATTTACATGGTGGACTTTATAAGTGGAAAAACTGAACATTTCACTAGAGAGAAAACAGTTAAACAGAGCGCGAGAATGAGAGATGAGGCTTCCTCAATATTTACTTGCACTTTCACTCTCGTGGATATGGTATGCAGAGACATTAATTAGCCTATAAATAATTAATTTTGTTTATTAAGCGCAAATATTTGTTTTAAAACTATTTCTAAATTCAGTTCTAATTTCCAGCAAATGAATAACTGAACAATAATAATAAAGTGTGCTCAAAAACCTGATCCTAATACAGATGCTGTTCCCCATATATAATATTGCTAATAATAATAACAACATTATACAAAAGCATGGAGGTGGTGGGTGTTTATATTTATGTAGGCTAGAAAATAATATGTTTTGTAATATTTTAATCTTTTATATTTATATCTTATATATATGCTTATTATATCCTATAAATATCCTTAATATTTTATTTATTTTTAATATGTAAAGATATTTGCATATTGCTCTACATCCTGTGTGTATTTGTCAGGGTTCTGCCACTCTGGTCTTGTAAATTCTTGTTTTGGTGGCAGATTCCAGACACTAGCTCTGTCTTGTCCTGTTTCCATCATTGTGTTAGTCTCCTTGTGTGCGCACCTTCGTGGGTGTGCGCAGAGCGTGCTTAGCGTGGTGCCTCGGACGCGCGCGCTCTTGTACTTGTGTTTGTTCTGTTGGCATCGCGCTGTTTCAATCTCAGCGCCTTCGTCTAGTTGCTTTCGGTTTTGGTTGGCGCTGAGATGAAGCATGCGCGTTGCATATGTGTGAGCGCACGGTAAGGTGTTCATCTATCTCTGTTTGCTTTTATTTGTCTGTTAATATGCAACTTTGAAATGTGCTAAAGGAAATGATTATTATTTACTTTTGTTCATGTGTTTTATTGTCTGTCATCTGTGGACCTTTTTGCGTGATTTTCTCGTCTTTTGATAAAAATATTTCTTGGACTATTCAGACATCTGAAGGAAACCATTTACTGTAGTTGCACAAACATAAATCCTATTAAAAGCTAAAATCAGCAGATGTGCTCACTAATTAGTGAAGTTAAACCAGTCACTACAGTCAGACGTGCTTCAGACTATTAAACACATCAGATTAACAAATACATATTGTGTTTGTCCTCTACACAGGCTACAGTTCTGTAAACTCACTGTTCAGTGCTGTAAGAGTTTGTCTTCAGCTCTACAATCCTCAAACTGTGTGCTGAGAGAGCTGGACCTGAGTAACAATGACCTGCAGGATTCAGGAGTGAAGCTTCTCTCTGATGGACTGAAGAGTCAACACTGTAAACTGGACACACTGAGGTAAATGATTCTCCACTCTACAATAACTACAGTCAGACAGTTTCATATTAGAGCTCTTCATGCTTGAACATGTTAACCCTGGGTGATACTAAACCCCAGATAACAGGAATTATGGTTTATCAGTGATTGTGTTTCACACTGCTCATACTATACCTGTAGCTAACCCTCAGGGGTTTGAGGTGATTTTGGCCCCTGAGATGTTTTGACATGCCCTGACATCGGTGCTGATTCAGCTACTTATTACACAGAACTGGCCAACATGTGTTTTATTTGTGTTCAGCACAAACTGAGCTACAATAATATGTGAGAAATATTGATGTACATGCTGGTGTTTTAGAAATAAATATTATGTGTGGTTAGTAGGTTTCTATGTTTAGGAGAAAAAAAATGTGTCTGAACAAGACTTTAGAGTAAGCAGTCTTGTAGTCTAGAATATTTACTGCACAATTGTGTGGAAATTATTCTGTTCTCTCATTCAGAGAAAACATTACAATGATCTACATTTTGTTAAGTTTGTTTTGGGGGATCTCAGCTGTATGTGTGAGTGACAATGCTCATGAATAATTCACACCTGAGAGACAACAGACACTCCCCCACTCACCCATCAAGGGCAGTGTACAGCAATGTCCATCTGCAGAAGCTAGCCCAAACTCAATGCTTGTTGTGTTACTGCTGTGTGACCATGTAAACACTCTGGGTGAAGAATATACAGTACTCAGCATATATAAGTACACCCCTCACTAATCTCTCTTTTACATTCATAGTTTAATAGGAAGCTCTACAGTATTATATTTGTGCATATACAATAGATTAGCCAAATCTGGAGCTCATCTAACAAAATAACTCATGATAACAGTGTAAAGACTAGCACACTTAAATTTATGTGTTTATAGAAAAAAATATTAAATTTAAAATTAAAATAAGAGGAAAACTCAAGAAAATAATAAATAATAAATAAATAAAATAATCATTTCTGAATGAGTCTGAGACACTGAAGTAGAGGAATGACAAACGCTTTAAACACAAGAATAAATCAGATTTAAACATGAAAAACAATTACTGTAAATCTAAATCATATTTGAAGACCTTTAATATAGATTTCACTAATAGTTGCAGTCTCAGTTCACTGGTTGAAAACTTTACCAGGTTGTGTCTGTCTGTGGGTGTCAACATTCAACATTTCTGTGTGAACAGCCCTTAAGTCTTACCAGATGCAGAGCTCAAATGTGCTGGGGTAATATTTTGTTTATATTGATATAAACTTCTACAGATGATGTCGAGTCCTTGTTGAGTGTGTGAGTGTGTGTGTTTGCTTATGCGATCAATAAGGAGAGCTGATCAGGATGTGTGTGTTCATCACTGCTGTTGACATGAGCAGAAACAGCAGTCAGCATCTTCACAACACAAAGAGATGTGTGATTGTCCAACTGTGTGATGTGGACTATTGCTGTGTTTGTAGATTGTCTGGCTGTATGGTGACAGAGGAAGGCTGTGGTTTTCTGTCTTCAGCTCTGACTTCAAACCCCTCACACCTGAGAGAGCTGGATCTGAGCTACAATCATCCAGGAGATTCAGGAGTCAAGCTGCTCTCTGAACAACTGGAGGATCCAAACTACACACTGGACAAACTCAAGTATGTGGAGCAGCACTGCCTTTTTTATTGTGAATACAGATACTTTGATACTTCACTGCTCTTCTAGTGTCCAGATATGAATCAAAGCTGTTAAATATGTCAGTGCACTGGGGCAGTTCTCACATTAAGCGTGATATTATATCTCATATTAACACTGTACAGTTTCAGCATTGTAGTTGAGCAGTGAAACTTGTTCTCTACATTTCTGCTGAAGAACTGTACAGTATCAGGTCAGAGATGTGTGTGTACTGTTCTCCAAATACGTCCTGTGTACACTTTAACAGCAAGTTAAACTCTCCCTCATGAACTTCACAGACACAGAATGTCCTTTATCACACTTTAATAAGGGCGGAGTAAAACTATAAACAGGAAGAAAATAAACAATATCAATTTACATTCACAATGTGGACATAACAAAGATGTTTCTGGTGTAGCGGAGCGGTAAGTTGGGAGAAAAATACTAAATTAAAGCTGACTACGCCACCCTGATCACAGGGAAATTAACACAGGTTCTTTGTGTGAAGAAAAGGCATGAGACGTGAATACCAAGAATACAAAAATACTTTATTTTCCTTAATTATCCAATATAAATCACTTTTAAAAAGCTTGATAGCTGATAGTAG